GGCCGGGGGCGGGCCGGGAGAGCCAGGAGCGCCGGGAGAGGGGGTGGCACTGCGCACGCGCGGCCGTATTGAGCTGCTGGCGGCGGTCCGGCAGAGAGCGCTGAATGGACCCGAACCGTTCCGGAGCGCCGCCGAGCGGCTGCCCCCCGCGCCGCCCCCGCGCCGCCCCCGCCAGCAGGCCCGGGGCCAGCCCCGTAGGGAGCTCACTCCGCTTTCTCTCTCTCCGCGCGGCGGTCCACTCCCGAGGCCGGCTCCCGACCTGGGTCAACAAGGGCTCGTGTAAGTACTCCCTCTGTCTGGCGCCGCCGCGCTGCTCCGGACCGCACTCACCACGCCGTCCTTGTTGTCCCTCAGGTGCGCTTTTCCATCGTCACCGCCCACCGTGCCGGACGCAGCCCCCGGGGAGGGGGGTCGCCGACGCGGAGCCCGGAGGCCGCCGACGACAGCGGGTGAGTACCCGCGCCGACACTCCGCTGCTCAGGCGGCCCCGGCGTGCCACTCGCGGCCAGCAGCGCGCGGGCCGCGGGGCCGCGGGGGCCTGTTGCTGGGGCACGCCGAGACCAACATGTGGCCCATTAGTTTCGACCCACCCCGGCTCCGGGCCCGGCTCCGGGCCGACCACCCGGAACCACGCCGGCCGCATCCCGGTCACACTCGGGCCGGGCCATCCGGGGTCGGCGGGCGGGACTGGCTCGACAAACAAACAAACAAACAAACAAACAAACAAACAAACAAACAAACAAACAAACAAAATGGTGGATTTAGTCTTGTCTGGTGGGGCGAGTTGACTCACGGTGAGATTCCTCAGCTGAGGACTGTAAAAAAAGAGCACTCTAGGGCAACCTGTTTCAACAAAACAAACAAACAAACAAACAAACAAACAAACAAACAAACAAACAAACAAACAAACAAACAAACAAACGAACGAACAAACGAACAGATCGCAAGCGTTGCCGCCTGCGAGCGTGTAGGGTAGGCAGTCCCGCCTGACTGCGGTGCTCCCGTGCGGCCCGCCTCGCAGGCTGTCGGAGCGCGCGGAGCAGGCAGCTAACGGTTGGGAAACGAGTCCCTCGGCGTAGAGAAGCGATACCTAGCGCGTAAATGCACAGTTGAGACCTTGCAAATCAAAATGCCAAATCCTTGCACAACTACAAAACATTGCTTCGCAATTGCAAAGTATTTTTGGCGTTTTGCTTTGCAAGGTTTTAAGTGCGTGTGTAGATTCACAAAACAAAACGAATTCCATTCCTATAATCTTAAAACAGGACGATTACAAGATAAGCCCCTTGGTGTTTTTTTTTAGCTTTCCTGGACCCATCTCTGCATGTGGTTGAGATCGTGAAGAAGGTGCAAATATTCGGCAACATAATAGTGGGGGGGGGG